GGTTGGAATTATCAAAGGTTTTTGACACCTGAGAGACACCGTAGCAACTCCTTTGCGTTTGGAAGCGGGGGGTGGGGGTGAGGGGAGGACCAGGGAGGATGATTCAACCACTCAACCACTAGATGTCGCTGAAAACAACAAATCCTACACACTGTGCCGTTAAGTAATATCATATTCATATATTCATACAGAAAACATATTTTTGGCATACTCCTTGGTTAAAAATACTGATTGTTACACATAACATAGCATTTTGACCATTATTGCATTTATTTATTTTTATCTAGTTGTTTCCAGAGACTGGGCCTCGGCAGGGAGGAACCATGTTGACCATCACCGGTGAGAACCTGGGTCTACAATTCAAAGACATCCAGAATGGAGTTCGCATTGGGAAGGTGGCATGCAACCCACAGGAGGACCAGTACATCAGTGCTGAGCAGTACGTCCACATTTAATCATCCTCCACACCTCCTATCTATTCTTTTAAAGGCCTTTATATATTTTTAGATATTATCTGACTCTTTCTTTCCCTGCTTGTCTTGGTTCAATATGGATGTGACACTGAGCATTAAGCACAACACTTTCTCTCAGACCTCTGTTTCTTAAAACCTGTAAAGGTTAAACGTTGGTTTCTGCTCTCAAACAGAACCGATTCCTCACAAACAGCCCCGAGCTGTTTTTGGTACTGAGTCTGCAAACGTGTGGTCCATATGAATGTGACAGCAGCTTACACTGAACCTTTTATTCTATGAATAATTTGGAAAAATTGGGTCACTCAGCAGTGAACTGACTCATGTAGCCACCCATATTCATGTCTGTTCATTTTTTTATTTTTTACAAAGTATTAAGATGATATTATCTCATTATAAGTGAGCTGTATACATCCTTTAAAAATAGCTTGAAGGCTAAAGGTTCATCATGTGAATGCTGTCTTCTCATTAAGTTGTGCTTGCTATGTTCTGGGAAATTCAGAATCACAGCGGGTGTCATGGATGTAATTTAATTCTCATTTAATAACTGCAGTAATATTTTCTGAGAAGAGTATTACATTGAGAAGCAGGAAGTCTTTTTTGCGATCACACTCTTCCAGATTTAGGCTGTTTAGATATGACTGAGGTCTTTGTGTTAGCTTCTAATGCTTCATTACCTCATTTCTACAATTTTATTCAGTTAAAAATGATTACTATTATGTTAATAATCTCTTACAACTATTTCAGAATTGGAAAAAGCTGACCATGTAAGGGTAAAATACTCAGAAACCTCTGTCTCTTTAGAGATGCATTTTGCAGTGTTGTATAAAGTACCACAAAGTGATACTTGAGTAAAAGTACAAGTATCTTACCAAAAAATTACTTTGTTAAAAGTTAAAGTSTCCTTTAGGAATATTACTTGAGTAAAAATCTTAAAGTATCTGATATTTTTGTACTTAAGTATTAAAAGTAAAAGTATTGATTTAAAATGAGCAGTTAGATTTTCTGTAATGACATTTATTAGGAGGTGACCTCCACAAAAAAATACAGAAATTACTATATTGTAATAAAATAATTAATTTATGTTAAATTTAGGATGCACTAGTCCAGCTGTTTCAGTTTATATACAAATATCAAGGGAGCTCAATACTTTCCCCTAAATGAAAATCTATCTGAGGACTGCAGCCAAATGCAATAATATAATTCATGAAAAACAAATACTTCTTAAGTACAGTCCTTTTATTTTAATGATTATGTCCTGCTGGAGTGTGACATGATTTGTTTGTGTACAAACTAATATGGAARCAGAGTTTTGTATATTTATACTTGTATTTCAACCACAATTAAATTCACTCTATAGGAGGCACAATTTATATGGATAGTATTTATTTTTTACAATAACAAGCTGAAATGAAAACAAGCAAAAATGAAATGAAGGACTCCCTGCTTCTTGTCTTTTTTAAAAATGTAAGAAGTAAAAAGTACAGATAATTATGTGAAAATGTAAGAAGTAGAAGTAAAAAGTAGGCTGAAAAATAATTATTCAAGTAAAGTAGATATTCAAAAATTCTACTTAAGTACAGTAAAGAAGTATTTGTACTTACCGGTAGTTACTTTACAACTCTGGCATTGTTTGTTGTTGAATTTATTGTTCTTAAAAGCAAAGGATAAGGACATTTAGGATGGGAAAAATTGCGAGAGTCATGACAGTGTGAGATTTTTTAAGTATTCTGTTTCTCACGATGTAGCTGTCAGCAACACAAATGTTCTGTTTGTTGAGTTTCATTGCGCAACCACAGCTGATTTTGCCCCCACCCCACAAAAGAAGAAAAGAACAATGTGACTTTGATGGTTTGACAGTCAAGTCGACAGAATGCTGTGCAGCTCTCACCAGCGATGACAGGTGTCTCCAAAATGGGTTAACAAACATGAGTAACACGGCTATTGGGATTTATAATTTCAGCCTCATTTTCACATCGACATCAGAGTGAAATCAGGTGGTTCTGTGTTGCAGCCTTTTCTTTCCATCAGTATGATGATATTTAACTCTTTCAGCTTTACTTCCAGTTGTACTGAAAATCTGTTGCCATAGCACCAACAGGAGGCGGAGGAGAAAGGGTGTGGTTGGCTGTTAGCCTGTCATGCTAATTGTAAGTGATGTTTGCCATACGGTGCCATTAGTGGCCTGGCTGCGCTCGACATCCCTGTGACCCTATCAGAGCTGCAGCGCAGGATACGAGATAAGGCTTCTGAAATGACAGCACAGGTCGAAGGTCAGCTTCTGATGGAGAGAGGGAGAGAGAGAGGGAGCGCTGCTAGTTTGCAACATGTAGACCCATTGTTCTGCTGTGTTTCTTCTGCCAGCAGTTGTACTTTTCAAACCTTCAGCATCAGGTGTTTGAGTGGCGCTGCAAAGCATTCACTTCAGTCATTAAAATTTTACAAGCTGGATTTGACTTCAATTCGAGAAAAATAAATCATCGCCAGTAGCTAAGAAAAACCTAGTTCCTCTATTTATTGCTTTATTATTAGAACTGTGCCACAGTTTGACATATTTTAATTCCTTAGCATTCCATGTTCCGTCTCAGTTATTTGAATAAGTAATCTGTAGTTTTATAATGGTGTCAGCTTCTTGGATGTGTTTTTCTAACAGTGTGCTCAGAAACAGCTCAATGTGGCCACCTGCCATCTGCGCTGTAATGAAGCTGCATTAACTGAGAGCTGTCCAGCATTTTCACCCTGGGCTCCTGTCATAGCTGGAGACCTGGGAATAAGTGGAAAGAAAAAGTATCAAAACAATTGATACGCAGTGTCAGAATGTATGCAGTTGCCATGGCCACCTGCAGGGAGGAGGGAAGCAGGAGAGTTAACAACTTATCTGAGGGAGGGAAAGCTGAGGAGATGTGTAAGATATGAACACGTTCAATTAATCAGCCGCTCTCACTCCGTTTTTTCTCTCTTTTCTCCCCACTTTTCTATCTCTCTCTCTCTCTCTCTCTCTCTCTCTCTCTCTCTCTCTCTCTCTCTCTCTCGCTAATTAAAAGTCAAGTGTGTCTCCAGTGGGTGNAGATATGAACACGTTCAATTAATCAGCCGCTCTCTCTCTCTCTCTTCTCTCTTTTCTCTCTCCTTCTCTCTCTCTCTCTCTCTCTCTCTCTCTCTCTCTCTCTCTCTCTCATTCGTTCGCTCTGGCTAATTAAAAGTCAAGTGTGTCTCCAGTGGGTGAAACATGAAGTTAGAGCGTGTGTGCACGTGCACTCCCTACTGGCTGCACTCCTCGCGTCGCTCAATAATTTCTCCAGTGGATTTCCATTTGACTAGCCGTTGCCCCAGGCCAAGTGCTCTGCTCATGGTTTTACAGTACGCTTTAATGCAGGCGTACTGTACACATATACAAACACGCAGAAAACMCTACGACTTAACACTTCGGCTGATTTTCTATGAACATTTGTTCTGTTCTTTCTTCTTTTTTTAAGTCATATTAAAGAATGCAGAAAATAACCTAACTCAAGCTTATGTTACCATGTAGAAAAAGCAGAAAGGTTCTCAGTTTTCTATCTATAATCTGTCAAATTGTGAAACCCACAATTACAGCTAATGAGGTTTGTCTTAATTTTTAGCTTGTTATAAAAAACATTTTAAATCAAGAATGTTTTAAACTTTAAGATACCTTTTCAGTTTTTTTCTTCATAGGCGAAGTACTTAGACTGCGTTTCATGTGGCTTGCATTTCTATAAAGCCAAAAACTTTATCAAATCTCTTATCACAGTTATGTATTTGACAAACTTAAAAATTAACTTTAATCAACAAATTGTGTTTAAAGTAGCGAAACAATTCACTAAGGAAATATAGTTGTAGTATCTGAAAATATAAATATGTTGATATATTTGTAGCTGACCAAAGGCACCAATTTACTGTAAGTCAGCAAGTGGCAGAGTTGTAGTATTTAGTAGGGGTTAAAACCTAAACCAATCAGATGAAGTGTAAGACCAAGATCACTTCTATGATACCAGAATTTTTTTATAGAAATGTTCCTGTGTTGTTCAGATATTAGTTTAAAACAGTGGACGTCAACTATTTAGTCTTCTAAGTTATGAATTGATCRCATGCGTTGAACATGGACAAATACTGACTTTCAGTGATGAGCCAAAGTCGGCACCACAGTGTTTGAGTCAAAAAGATGTTTTATTTGAATGGATCTTCATTCATTCATTGACGTGTCATATGCCCTCAATGTGTTTTGCCTGTAGGTATTTCTTTATTACAAAAACTATGTTGTTTAGGAGCCTAAAATATGAGGTACTGTACAATCCAAATGCCCACCTGCTACTGTTTAAAATGTGTTGGTTTAGCTTTGTTGGTCCAAAAAGAACAGTTCTGCAAACAAGAACTAAACCAGTTCTTTGTTGTTTAAAGGAACAAAAAAATGTAATCTTTCAGAATACAATGTACTGAACCTGCTGCAGATAAACTGAGCTGATTGTCCAAATTAATTTGGGCTGTAATTTATAATCAAGAAAATTATTTCTCATCTCTTTACCTTTTGTGTTTCCGTTTCCTTTAGGATTGTGTGTCGGCTGAATGATGCAACCGGTTACCGAGTGCAGGAGGCCCAGGTGGAGGTGTGTGTGAGGGACTGCATTCACCCCGACTACAAAGCCACCTCAACCAAAGCTTTCACCTTTGTGGTAAGCACTYATAATTCCAGATCCAGCTACGTCAAAGATTTTTGCATGGGCTCATAACTGGATTTGACAGCCGTGATAAAGACAGTGAGTCATTCTTAACCTGCTTGTCCTCTCTGTCCTCTGCTAGTCTCCATATTTTACTCGTGTCCACCCCTCTGCTGGGCCTCTGTCTGGAGGAACAAGGATCACCGTTGAAGGCAGTCATCTCAATGCCGGCAGCGCRGTGTCTGTGAAAATCGGTCTCCATCCCTGCAGCTTTGAGAGGTGAGAGAATTCAGACTGCTCAGATGTGTTTTAGTTCTTTTACTTTAATGTGTTCAGATCATTTTAAGCTAGATATGAAATTATGAAGAGTTGAGTTTTCTTCCATAAAATTTAAAAACTGTTAACCCAGGCTGCTTGTTGCTGCTTTATTTTRTTTCTAAAATTATCACTCAGGCATTTAAAACTAAAGAATAGGAAGGTGTATAAGTAACTGTTCAGTAATTTTGACAGAACATTTGTTAACATGTACAAAATGACCATCTCATATCCTGTTGACTGTAGGAAATACCAGAATTGGGTTCATTACATATCTTCTCATATCAAACAACAATGCACATTTAGCCTAACGGTTGCAGGAACTGCTGCGACACTTGATTAAAACTGTCTGTATTTTCATGTTTTTTTCCTCTGAGTTKTTTTACTTCTTGTCTCATTTTGCTCTATAGACATTTGCAGCTCATAACGCTGCAAGTGCTTCCCATCCATCGTTTAGTTTTCATCAAGCTGTCATCTTTTCCTCTTATATAGTGTTCGATAATTCCTGTTAAAAGTGTCTGTCTTTACTCCCCGGTTGCTGCCATTGATTTGCTGCAGGTCTGAAAAACGCAGCCGGTGAGAAGATGACCTGCASTACTGTAATTCACAGCAATTGTGGGAATGATAGTATAGCCGTTCCAGAGAGAAGCTGATATCACTGTTCAGTTATTCTGCAAATGACTTCAGCGCAAAGCCCTCCTTTTGTGAGAAATACGACTATAATTTAAAATGAATAATGTGGTTGTAAATCATGTTGGTAACACACCTTACCTTGCTTTTTAAACACATTCTCAACTTTTAAAAAAAGAGAAAAAGTAAAAAATATATACCCATCCTACTCAATGATTATTTAGTTTATACAGTAATCAATCTTTGTAATCTTCCCCTTTACTCTCTCTGCAAGACGTGCCAGGATTTCAAGACAAGGAGACAAAGATCCAGTTAGATGACTTTCTTTCCTCCAGCCAAGAACTGTTAGTCCTTTTTGTTTCTTGCTGGCATCTTTACAGCAAAACCGGATGCACTGCTGCAGCATCTGGCAGATGCCAATAAAAGAAAGATCACAAATTTACTGAAGACTGTAAAACAAGTTTTCCTCTTGTTCTACTTTTTCCTTTTATAGTGAGAACTCTTAACAACGTAGCTGCCTTTCTTATTGCAGCTTCCTTCTCTGAGGCAACAAGTAACAGGTTAACCTAAGGAGCTTAGACCCATCAAGTTTTCTTTTAATATCACATCAAAAGAAAAAAACGCAGAGGCCAATTTAAAGCTCTGTAGCACATCCCAAGAAAGGTGAATATAATAGTCTTGGCCTTTCATTCACTGAGCAGCAATAACCTTTATGGCCAAAGTAATGAACTGGTTGAGTCCGTCTCTTTAATGCGTCTTTGTATTCAGTGGGGCCTCCGCTTTAATCAAAGCTTATTTACCCTGAGTCACTCATCCTCTTATCTCCCTGTGCAACCCCTTTTTTCTTCCCTGCTCATTTTTACCCCCTTTCTGTATCCTCTCTTGGCTTCTTTTGTGTGACCGCAACCTTGTCAGAAAATACGTCCACGGCACCATAGGCGCTTTTGGCATTGATGGTGTTGTGAAAACGGTTGCCATAGAAACACAGCTCCAGTGGAATGTGAACAATTTTTCTCTTCTTTCTTTAAATTGTCCTTCACTTTTTGCGTGTGTTTTTTTTTTTTTTTTTTGCCGTCTTCATTCCCTATCGAGTCTCCTCTGAGTTTGAGGGCGTTTGTAGAAACGCCTGCTGGGATGCAGCGGCAACACGTTCGACAAAGTCGTCCTGAAATCCCTGTTTTCCAGCAACCCCACCTGAGATCACTGCAAGGTTCCAAAAGGCTCCTGCAATAGATTTTCACTTCCTCCTCTTCTTCATTTGGAWTTAACTTTCATAAAAAAGTCACAGGGTGCGACTGGTGTGCTGATCAGCTCGCTTTTTCCATGCCTATAAGTGTTACCCTCCTGTGCACACATACCTGCAGCCTAATTTCTCCTGGGAAAACTGCAGGACATTAACAGACAATGAATGGCATAAAAACCAAATCAGATCTTCTGCTACTTCATGCAGATTTACAGACCTCCACTCACCAAAATTGCGCTTTCTTCAACAATAACCAAGCATAGATGCAGGTATAAACACACATACAGTCTATAAAAACACAGGTAACCAGTGTGTAGTTTAACAGCAGGCCACAGTTGGCTCTGTGTCTGCCAGAGAAGAATTTATACAACACACAGACAACCAGCCTGATTGGATATTTAAAAAAACAACTTGCCTAGGGTTGCGCGGTATATGCAGTAGGTAGACGGTAGAAATGGTAGGAAGTTAGCCTACGGTAGAAATTTACCCTCTACTGTCCTGTCGTCATTACGTCATTGCATCTGTGTCAACAGGGCTGCGAGTGCAGAAACAACTGAGCAGGAGTTTGAAATATAATGAAGAAATTCTAGCGTTTTAAAACACGTATAGGGAGAATAAATCCTCAATTTCCTCCTCGCTGTAGAAAAGTTACGTCGTGTCGCGGGATCATTTCCTCCCTCTCCTCTCCTCTCCTCTCCTCTCAATGCACGTCGCGCAGAGCGAAGCTTTAACAGCTGTAGTTTTTCACACCCAATTATCGGAGAAAAAACTTGTTTTTTAAAGTATTCTTACCCACAGAGATGATTTTTTAAAAAAGACGTGGACGTTCGTTCAGTCATAAATCCATCTTGCTAATGTAAAGTCAGCTTCTGCTCTGATGATGAAGATGAGCGCGCAGCAGAGCAGCAGCTGATAGACGGAAGCTCATTGTTTGGCAGGCAGATATTAAAGCAAAAATGCTGGGTTTGATTAAGATGACAGTTTTCTGCAAAAAATGCTCTAAAATTACATTATCTTTACGTTTTATAATTTTCTACCACAATATATACCGTTACTGTGAAGGGATTCATTTTATACCGTGATATGAATTTGAGGTCATACCGCCCAGCCCTAAACGTGAGGCTTTAAACTCCAGTAGTTTGTGATTTGAGCTGATAAAACCAGGGCTGAACAGGGTGACAGATGTTTGCCTGGTGGACTGGCACTTGTCAACATTATGTGCATGTGTTTATGTGTGTTTCTGCTTTATTTTCTCATATCTAATAAATAATTTATGAGCTCTCCAGTCATGGTTGTTTTTCTGTGTCCAGACATTCAGAATTGTAGTGTTCATCCATGTTACACACAGTGACATCTTTAGCTTATTTTTTGTCTTTTGTCCTTTTCCTTCTCACCCAGGAGGGGCAGTAAGGAGATTGTGTGCGTGACCCCTGCAGGGCAGGCTACCGGCCCCACACCCGTCATGGTGGACATCAACTCTGCTGAGCTGAGGAACCCGGAGGTGAAGTTCAGCTACACAGATGATCCCACCATTCTCAAGATTGAGCCTGACTGGAGTATCGCCAGGTATGATATCCACTGAACCCTCACACCCAATGTGTTAAAGTGGAAATTTCATATATATATGACTCAATCGTGCACCTATTTATAATTTATCATCAAGGTATTTGGTTATTTATTTATCTATATTTTACATCTATTTAGTGTTTGATCTACAATTCTGCTTGATGTGCAGCTCATTTTCTGAACAGATACAAGCAAATCAATACATTATTAATACTTAGTGGTCATCAGACCTCCAGTTTTTCTCCCTTTTTTTAAAGAACTTCAGTAAACATGGCAGAAAAAATAAACTCCACATAAAAACTGATAAATTTAATATTCTGCCTTCGTGCTCCCTTTCTGCGAGAGAAACACAAATTTCCTCCTCTTTTGTCACACCCATGTCACTTTTTAAAAGGCATATCTTTTTTATTCTGTTTATATTTTAAAGTAAACCTTTTGTGAGCTTGAACAGCAGTAAGAGGGATTCCTGAAGCAGTGCACTGCCAGCTGATGAGCTGCAGCAGACATGGATCTGTAAATATTTCTTGACTTATTGAAATGAGACTACATAGCCACGGGAAGATTTTCTTTGCAAACACAAGCTGTGATGTAGAGGAGGAAAATAAAATACAGCAAAGCTTTGAGCTTCCAAATGTTAATGGGCTCACTGGTATGACCTAGAAACTCCCCACTTCTCAGTTCTGAAGTGACGTCAGCTCGTATGCACCAACGTGTGCACTCCTCTGACTTTTTCATTTCATTCTAGTTCAGGGCTATTCAACTAAACTGCTCCGGGGGCTACAGTTACTGCTGGTCAACAGCTGAGGAGCCGAACATCCAGCAATTAAAGTTATTTTGTAAATAAACTAAGTATTACAAAGATCTTTTACCTTTGAATTAGTTTGTTTTGCTGCATTTAATCATGAATACAACATACAGAACCCTGTAAAAGTAGTGATAATTACACATTATCAAAAACAAAAATAACACATTCTGCCTCCTGTTTGGCACAAATAGTATTTTGACATCTCTGACTTGCCAAATTTTTAAACAATTTTATTTTCACTTTCATCATTTTATCTTCAACTGCTTGTAGTTTTAACTGTCTTGACTGGTTTTTACCAGCTTCTAGCCAAGGTTCTGACGTTTCTGTAGACACCAAACATGTCTATGTTTAACTAAAAGAACTTAGAGTAATTAAAGTAGAAAACCAGAGGTTTGGGCTTGAGAGGTGAATGAACCAGTTGGCGGGCCGAACTTTGGTCACTCGCGGGCCGGATGTGGCCTGAGGGCCGCCAGTTGAATAGCCCTGTTCTAGTGAAAGTGAAATGTGTTTTCAGC